CTTCTCTTTTTTCCTTTATGTACAGTCACAAAGCTGTAGCTATACATCTAGAATTTCCTCCGCTGTGCCCCCACAGCGCAATCTGTAGCGACCAGTTCTCCAGCTTATAGTAGGGTCCCATAATGCCGACAAAAAAATGTATATTGTCATGGATTCACGGATGAACCAGGCTACTGCATAATCAAGTTTTGAAAAACACAGTGTGCCACCCTAGGAATTAAAAAAACAAAAATTTACTGTCGAACTATACACAGTTAAAAAATGGAATTCTTCAATTTCACTCTTTTAAAATATACCATATGAAATCAAGCCTGCTTCTTTAGATAACTGAACTGCTTAACATCATTTTTTTTGGAGGCTTAATAAAAGCGATAGTATAACTATCACCTGAAAGTTGAAAATCAAGTTAAGTTTTCTGTCCACATTCCACTAAAGAAGGTAATGTTTAAACCCGATGTTAACCTTCAATGGGAAGCTGAAGAATGGGTTGGATAAATTTCAAGCTTTTCTAAATTAAACCAGTTTTAGTTCCACCAAATGACTGCCAACCTTTTCATGCCTGTCCACATACCTGGACACCCCTGAGTTGAATGTAGTCAAATATAAACCATGCCAGGCAATGACACATGAAAAATACCATAATATCCCATCTGAATACATGGTGGGCTGCCCATCCAATAATTAAACTGGCAACAAAGCACTCTGAAATTGGCTCACAAATTATTGTAGCGGGAAGCATGTTAATTCGCAATTTGGTCCACCTAAAAAAAAAACAACAAAAAAAACCTTTTCTTTAAAACAGCCTGGTTACAAGACTAATCAATTCCCTGCCCCCCAAATGATCAGCTCTTTAGCCTGTTACATAAAAGCCCTTGTCTCTTTAAAGAGTATTTAAGAATCACTTTTCTATTTTTATTTAGTACATTAAAGAAAAAAATCTATAAATTCATTTGTATGGCCTACACTCTAATGAGTAAAGATTATAAAATTCAAAGTGTAGAAAGAAAATAGAGAACAGCACGTTAAAGATAGCAAAGTCTCAACATGTCTTTACTGAATGCATTCAGGATTACACAGCAAGAAAATATATTTAGACATTAAATTTATTTTAACAAAGATGCTAACCTCTCTTTTCTGGAACTAAACAAAAATTTGACTTTTAGATATTTTAAATATCAAGTTAGACCATGTAAAAATTACTCTCTCCCCCCTTTTTCTTTTAACCATGTATAAAAAGAAGAAAGCCAACTGATTTACCTGATCATTCTGGATTGAAATTGGGAAATTGAATAAGAGCCAGAGTTTTGCATTGCAACCTGAGTGGACATCGCAAACCTCCAACCTCTGAAAATTAAGACAATTATAAAGTGAACTGTGATGATGAACACCTGCAGGCATGACTGGTTATGCATTTACTTACTCATCACTGTAAGGAGTTAAGAACTGTTGGTGTTCAGGGTGAGCCTAGTTCTCAGGATCAGCACCCTACTTAGGGTGTATCGTACTCCTGGATGTTTTAGCAAATACACAGGACTATGACAGTACCATCTAGAACTGGAAGGAGCTACAACCTCTCCGTTTACAGTTTAAAAAACTTAAAATACAGATGTTCTCAAAGTACCAAGTGGAGTGGGTTCATATTTAATAGTTTAGTCTCGCGTCACCTAAGTGGGTCAGTCGGTTAAGCGTCTGACTTCGGCTCAGGTCATGATCCCGCGGTCCGTGAGTCAGAGCCCTGCGTTGGGCTCTGTGCTGACAGCTCAGAGCCTGGAGCCTGTTTCAGATTGTGTCTCCCTCTCTCTCTGACCCTCCCCTGTTCATGCTCTGTCTCTCTCTGTCTCAAAAATAAATAAACGTTAAAAAAAATTAATAGTTTAGTCTCTGATCACTACTAACCAAAACCAAAACCAAAAAAACCCACCAAATCAAATGGCGGGCAGTGGGGGGGTGGAGTGGGGTGGGGTGGGATGGGGAATATGTGTGATGTGTGTGTGGATATTCAACATGAAATGCAAACAAAAGTGGTATTATATATACATCTCATTGGAAACACTATGAAACTATGAGCCACATGAATAGCATCATGAATTTTTAAAACATACCAATTTTTAAAATCCTATCTTTAGTAAATTACCACATGAGGCAATGAACCCCTTTAAAAGCAAACAATTTTGTGACAGAGAAAATGTTAAGCCATTCATATGAATCGTTAAGTGGCTTTTTAGCAGAGCATCAAATAATCTACTGAGAAATTCCAAAATGTGGAATCATATTCTTTAAATTTTGTAAATCTTTAAATTTAAATCACCTACTAGCTTATGACTGCACTAACATTTTTAATTCTTCTAAAACACATAGAAATTTACATCCATAATAATGAAAATTTATAATCACAGAGAAGCTTCCTTTTCATTATGTCAAATCACATTAATTTAAAGAATGTAGAACAATCATTTATTCACATATTTCTTTCATAACAATATCTATGAACAGGAATTACTTTCTTAAAAAATATTGACCTATTCTGTACTCACTAGCAAAAACTAAAATAAAATAGCCCCTTAATCCAAGACTTTAACAAATACAATAAACCAACAGAAGTCAGGTACTAAAAATACTACAGCCTAATGTGATTTAGTTTGCTTACCGGTCAGCTATGGCTTTGGCCATAAAGTAATCCTCAGCAATGTATTGAGCAAAAGCTATAAGCCCTCCTGCTTGATCTAACACATCCTTTCTCATTAAACAAGACATTCCTGTCACACATTTGAAGCCAGTTACGTTGGCAGAGATATAGGACCTTGGATGAGAAGTTCCAAAATATACCTGCCGAAACAAAAGCAAAAACATATGTGTGTAATTAGGATGTTATGTTAAAAGTATGGTATGTATAAACTTTTTTTTTTCCGAAAGAATATCCTTTAGGTATGACTGAGTATCTTATTATTCTTACATAAACTACCTGAATAAAAATTTTTATAAAACAGTGTTTTCATGTAGCAGGCAATCAGTAATTTCTTGTTTGGTTGCCTATTCTTGTTATTACCATTACGAAGAAAAATATACTTCTAGGAGGGAAAAGTATATATTGTATTCCCAAATAAATACTGTCTTCCCTAAAGATTCATCCAAATAAAACCTAATTTGGATAGAAGTCAGGTAAAAATAGGACTCAAACACATATAAAATATTCATTAATATTTTATATTATATTTTATAATATATAATATATATTGTACTTTAAATATGTGTAACTGCACACACACACCCCTACACATAAAGGTGTATGTATATGCATATATGTGTACGCGTATGCACGTGTGTTTATGTGTGTACTCACACATGCATACATAACACACAAATACTCAAATACTCACCTGTAGGTATATCAACCTACAGGACAATCCTGTTTCTAAATTCCTTTTTTGCACCCGTTTTTGCATAGCTGGCTGCTTCCTGCCCCTGAGTCACTGAGCTTCTTCCTGATTTGCCCAATGTTATCTTTCAATGTATCTTTCACAAACAGGGAAGATACTGAAATTCTGTCTTCCATTTTACTCCCCCTTTCCCTAGATATGCTTTGAAGTCATGAGCTATGCAAGTTGCTAAATTAGTGGTAGAATAAAATGGTCATCATCCTAATTATTAGACATAAAACCCTTTTGTTTACATCTTAGATATGCTGCCTTTCCTAACTAGCTTGAAATAGAGAACGGTGATTTTTCCCAATGGCAGCAGTTACATACACACAGCATGGAACAAGAGAACTGGCAGGGGTGGTGACAAATAATAGGATTCTTGCTGCCTGCTCAACATCCAGACTGTAGTGAAGTTGTGGTTTATGGGGCTGAACTGAACCAAACGCTGAAGAACAGAAGCGCACATCTTAATTTCTTAAGCAGTTATTAAGTGAGGCTTTAGGAATGAGGTGAAATAGGGACTCCATCAAAGGCTCCCAGGATTTCTTTACAGACTGGAACAATCCCTCTATTTCCATTCACTCTAAGTATGGCAAAGGGGCCTTTAAGGATTACATTTAACCTAAGTCACTGATTTGTGTGATCTGGGGGATGCTTACCACTGCCATTATAAATCAACTTAGGTATTTGTAAAACAAAAGTATGATGTGGCATATAAGAATAAAAAGTATTTTATTTTTGGGGTGCTTGGGTGGCTTAGTCAGTTAAGTGTCCAACTTCTGATCAGGTCACGGTCTCATGGTTCCTGAGTTCAGGCCCTGGCAACGGGCTCTCTGCTGTCAGTACAGAGCCTACTTTGGATCCTCTGTCCCTCTCTCTTTGCCCCTCCCCCACTCGCACGCTCTCTCACACTCTCTCTCAAAAATAAATACTAAAAAAAAATTTGTAAGTATTTTATTTTAAAGTAACTACTCAGAGTTTCTCTTACTAAACAAAAACTCTGATATTTAAAGACTTGCAATAGGACAAATCTATTCATGGGCAGTATTAAGAGGTCATGGCTCAAAGTGCCAAAGGTTAAATTCCACACACAATGTACCTTTACCCCTAAGATCTGTAGTAATCACAAGACTGCAATTCAAAATCATACAAGTGCAGATACACTTAAAAGCAAGTTGACGTGTTTAAAAGACTGCAACCATATGTCCTTCCCTTATGACGTGAAAACATTCTTCCTAAATGTTTAGCAGCACAGGAATGGTTAAGTCAGGTCTAGGATAGTATGATAGACTATGATACAGTCAACAAAAATCACTTTTATAAAAAATTACTCATGAGGCGCCTAGATGGCTCAGTCAGTTAAGTGTCTGACTCTTGGTTTCATCAGGTCATGATCTCATGGTTTGTAGGTTCAAGCCCTGCGTTGGGCTCTGCACTGACAGCATGGAGCCTGCTTGGGATGAGCTCTCTCTCTCTCTCCCTCTCTGACTCTTCCCTGCTCATGTGCTGTCTCTGTCTCTCTCAAAATAAATAAACTTAAAAAAAATTAAATGTTGCAGCACCTGGGTGGCTCCGTCGGTTAAGCGGCCGACTTTGGCTCAGGTCATGATCTCGCAGTTTGTGAGTTCGAGCCCCACGTCGGGCTCTGTGCTGTCGGGCTCTGTGCTGTCGGGCTCTGTGCTGACGGCTCAGAGCCTGGAGCCTGTTTCCGATTCTGTGTCTCCCTCTCTCTCTGCCCCTCCCCCGTTCATGCTCTGTCTCTCTCTGTCTCAAAAATAAATAAATGTTAAAAAAAATTTTTTTTAATTAAATGTTAAAAATTATTAAGGATAGGGAGAAAAGCTGATGAAGTGACAAAAATCATATATGAATTGTTTTTAGAGTACCACCTCAATATAGGAAAAAAAATAGAAACTTCCTCTAGTTGGTAGGATTATGGCTTGTTTTTTTGCTTCTTACATTTTCCCACAATTTATAGTTTATATAATTCTATTATAGGGTGAAGAGAAAAAAATGGAAACCACAAAATAAGTTTGTCAAGTAATTAAAAAAATTTTTTTTCAATGTTTATTTATTTTTGAGACAGAGAGAGAGTGTGAGTAGGGAAGGGACAGAGAGAGGGAGACACAGAATCCAAAGCAGGCTCCAGGCTATGAGCTGTCAGCCCAGAGCCTGACGCAGGGCTCGAACCCACAAACTGCAAGATCATGACCTGAGCCGAAGTCGGACGCTTAACCAACTGAACCACCCAGGCACCCCTCTCCAGTAATTTTTAGAAATACATTTTAAAAGGAAATCAAATGGATTTTATAATAACTTATAATTGTAATAACTTATAATTTTATAACAACAATTTTCCTTTGTTGTGTGTATTTCAAATACTCTGATATTTAAAAAAGATTCTTGGGGTGCCCAGCTGGCTCAGTTGGAAAAGCATGTGACTCTTGATCTCAGGGTTGTGAGTTTGAGCCCCACTTTGGGTGTAGAGATTAATACTTAAAATCTTAAAAAAAAAAATTATTTTCAGATTAGATTTCTGAAAGAACTATATGTCATGTGCTTTTATGTAAGCCTAGAACCAAACTCTAGAACTGAAAGAAAGGACCAGAAGGAAACAATATATTGTGTTCAGCTGGTAATGAGACCACAAGATATTTCCTGTGCACATCCATTCACTGCCAGAGTGCGGCTGTGAGTGATTCCAGGGGCCCAAGAATTTCTTCACTACTAAAACAGCTACTCTCATCTTGAGGATGCCAGTACTTAGCAGGTTAAAACAGACTTAATTACAGTTAACTTCACGTAGTCCATCCCAACTCTCAGAATAATCTCAAGTTTCTGGAAGATCAGGGATGCGACAATATTATCTATGACAACCATACTTACCTGTTCTAATGTAGCAGCAAAGCCCTGTCTGTCTGCTACATAGGGCAGCCCATGAACCAGGCCCACTTTCTCTGTCATTTGGTTAACCATGTCAGTAAGTGTGTCTGGAATTACTACAATAAAAAAAGACAAACAGGTGGTGAGGGAAAAAGAAAAAAACAATCCTTTTTAGTAAAATGTCCACCAATGTGAAATGTATTTTGTGAGCTGTTATAAAGTTCTTTTTTACATCTGGATCTAATAAAATCATTCTCAATCACTTTTCTAGGTAGAATACAAAATTTCAAAAAGGCAATTTACTCTCTACACTTTCAGGCTACTATGTACCAGAGCCAGGATATACCTTGAAAATGGTACTCCCCCTATTTCAGAACCTCCAAACTAGAATGTGGACAATGTGTTCCTAATGGAAAAGTTACAGGAGCAGAGCTGAAAGGACCTCAGTTTTTATGCTGGTTTCCTGCACTCTCTAACTACAGAATATGAGCCTCCACTTTCTTGGAGGATACGAGATATCCTATGTCATAAAACTGCTAATGGGAATTGAATGAGATTATACTTGACCAAGAGATGAACATATATTATGAAAACAAAACAAATGTAAGATAGAAAATAATTTAAGGTAGCAAACACGAAGAATGAACGTAGTCTCTCTGTCCATGAATTGACAAGACTCACAATGAGCCTGATTAATTAGGCATGTCACACTTCTATTAATTTTCACATCTGTGTTTCAAGCTAATAAAAAAAATTTAAATCACTGTCCCCTCTTCAAATAGCAAACACCTCCTACCTTTTTCCATGACTTTGTATTTTTATTTCCTTCAAAAATACAAAAGCTATGAACAAACCTATTGTATAAAAGTGTATTTGGGCCTTAAATACACATATTCTACAACAGCGGTTCCCAACTGCTGCCCTGCAGGGGACACTTAGCAACGTCTAGGGACATTTTTGGTTGTCACTACTGAGAAAGAGGTGCTACTGGCATCTAGTGTGGAGAGGCCAGGGATGCTTGCTAACCATCCCATAGGGCAGCCTCAACAACAATCACCCAACCCCAAATACTGAGCTTGAGAAACTTACGGTAATTAGAATATAAATGTTTAAAAATGCAAACACGCAAATTATGATTTCAGTATATTTTCCTCCTAAAACCAATTAAAAGCCATGTTTGCATTTCGGTAAAATACTCACTTATTAATTTCTGTCCCTTTGTGTGAGACAGTATTGGTGCCACAAACAGATTAAAGTAAAAGACAAGTTATTACATGAACTCGGGAAAACTTACAACTATGAAAAATCTTGTGTAAAGGATTGTATGGTAGACCGTGACTATTCTTTTTTTAATAGTTGGAATTTTCTCTTCAAAACAAAAACAATTCTACAGATGTAACATTCTAGAGTAGCATTAAAAAAAAATTCCAAATAAGTATAACTTGACATACCATGAAATAATGATGAATGAATTACTTTATTAGGCAAACAAAAAGGATTGATGCATGTATTTTTAGAATGCTTTTGGCATTTTATCATCAAATGAATAGTTCTGTAAAACAAATAAAAAGCAGCTCACCTCTTATTCCACTATCACAGATCCATATCAGATCATACTTAGCAACTTCATATCCTGGCATTAAATTATTAATTTTAGGGTTAATGCCAACCTTTTTGCCACCTAAAAATTTAAAGATACAACTATGAAACATTCATCCAACGTTGAAAATATATTCTATTATACAGATACATGGTAGGGAGAAGTGAAAAGTACCTTCATACGTAATAACAGAAACAAACATACTTTAATGTGTTTTGCATTCCTTATTATTCATATTTAGAAAAAATTGTTCGTTCTCAAAAAGAGAATTAATTTGTCTTTGAAAATATATTAAGTTTCAGTTTGATTCTTAAATTATTGCATCAATAGTTAAGTATGAATCAATGTTTAATGGCGAATATCTCTCTACAAGTCTTTAGAATAAGCCTGCAGGCTTTTGAAAAATATTCTTTTTGCAATATAATAAAAGTAAATTCTATTGCTCACTCCCAACTACAGTGAATGAGATATAAGAAGGCCCACAGGTTGAAAATAGTAAAGAAACAAAAATAACAGATTCTCGTGTCTGAGAAAAACATAACTTGGGGTGGTTTTTTTTTTGGTTATTTTGTTAATCCCAGATATGGAAAAGCAACGACGACCACCATCACCACCCTGTGTTTTTATAACTTAAGTTCTCTCGAAAGGCTAGAAACACCTTTCCCTACTCTAACAAACACTCAGAAAGCAAACATCCCAATAACATCAGTGGCTGGCTAACAGCTTAATCTATAGTTCAATGCAAGGATTACTGATACTTAATACTATTAAAGCAAAAGGGTTATGGTAGAATTTATTTGTTACCTACCAATAAACAATCTAGCATCAACATTTGGGTATTTTCCAAGAAGCTTCTTACATACATCAATGGCTGGATCATCGTGATCTTGTACACAAAGGAGTACTTCATACTAGTCAAAGAACACATTTTACGGAGATTAAACCTCTTTTACAAAAATAAGCACATTATTGGTATTTACTGATTGATAAAAAGCATTAGGAAAAAGAAGCCGTTGTACACACAGCATTTAAAAGTTAAGAGAGTACTCATAACGATGCAAATACTTATGACATCAAGTGTTGCTTTGAGAGCAGCTTCTCCAGAACAGGGGCTGATTTGCAAGCAGCAGAGATAATGAAGAGACTGGAACCCCCACAGTTGGAAGTCCTGCCATTCCCAGACAGGCATGGCCTGAATTAAACTGGATCTCAAGCTTCTCTGTGGCCTTCATCATGAAACATCTCCCTGTTCTCTAGAAGCTCTGTCTCTGAAGTTACTATTTCATGAAGGTGCCAGAAAGTATGTATCAAATCCCAGAATGATCAACGTAAAGAGTTTTTCCAAACTCTTCCCATGAAAAGGACAAAGTGCTATTAGATTTTTGCTGTATAATAATTTTTTGAAATAAAATAGAATTTGGTTGAAAGTCTATCATCCTGAGAAGCATGATTAGCCTTCTAACAATGAAAATATCCAGGGTTTTATTTTGCTCAGTGCTACGTTTACTCTTTGATAGGATGTTTACTCTTTGATAGGACATTAGGGAAGTCATTTCTTCACATTTGACTGGCTGTGTCGGTTACCCTGGGACATTTATTTAAAGAGAATACTGGGCCCCACTCTTACTTTTGAATTAGAATCTCTGGGGGCAGTTCGGACATGTAACTAGGTTTAAAAAATCTGGAGCTAAACCTTTAAATTACCATTTAATAAACTACTACATTTTTTTTTTAAAAAGTGTTTGCTTTCACATACAAAGATGCTACTTTATTATTTTGTGGGATAAGTATTCTTAGTAGTAACTTTTTTTTTTTAAATTTTTTTTTCTTCAACATTTTTATTTATTTTTGGGACAGAGAGAGACAGAGCATGAACGGGGGAGGGGCAGAGAGAGAGGGAGACACAGAATCGGAAACAGGCTCCAGGCTCCGAGCCATCAGCCCAGAGCCTGACGCGGGGCTCGAACTCACAGACCGCGAGATCGTGACCTGGCTGAAGTCGGACGCTTAACCGACTGCACCACCCAGGCGCCCCGTAACTTTTTTTTTTAAGTGCTGCTAAATTCATGCTGACTCAGTGACAAATATCCTACCAATTCTCTTTCTAAAATGGGATGGACATTTTTAAGCAAAGGAGGGAGGTTAGTTGTGTCCCCGAAAAAACAAAGCTATGTGTTTAAAAAAAAAAAATACAAAGAGCTAAGGACATAGCTTTTTAAGTATCTAACATACAGGAACCAGCTCAGGTAAAGGGAAACTCAGCAAAAACTGGCAATATGGAAATTAGGGGCTGAGTATGAGAAGGGCCAGGACTAACTAAGGTCAATGAAGAAGGTAATAAGATTTTTTTTTTTCAAGTGGAAAAAAAAAAAGTTTTCTCAATAGTTAAGTAGACTCTGGGAAAACAATGTATACTTTTCTCATACTTTGTACCTATTATTATTATACATTCTATCAACTAGCTACCTTTAATGATGACTGACCAAAATTGCCACTCAGGAGGTATCGAAACCAACTTTATAGCTACCTAGTCTTCAGGGACCAGATAAAAATCTGAGAATGGGAAGGACACCACTCCTGCCCACGCCCTTGAATTTTCCAAAGGGTTGACTCCTAAATCCTGTAAAGCATCAGTCCTCTTCCCAACCTGACTCTCAAAACAATGTTCCGCTGAACTAGCCAAAAGGCATCGACCTTAACAATGAAGATCAGAAAGATTAAGTGACTTTCCAAAGGGTAAAAGTTACAATTAGCTTCCCTCCTAGAGTGAGCTGCTCAGCCACCCTTGCTGTAAGAATGCCTAGTTTTTCCCAACACCTCAGTTTCTTTAATGCTTTTATAATTTATGCTGTTTTGCAGGTATGAGCAAATACAAGTGAAAGGAAATGTTCGTAAATGATACAATTCCATAAAATATAATAAAAAACGTTAGTCTTTGCTTTCTTCCCTAGCAAGAGAAAACTTTGCAAAATACAGCTCTAGAAAAGTATTCAAAGGAGACAGAGTTTACCTTTATTCAAATGTAAGATTTAAAGTTTCCATTTTTATTGATTATGCCTTTTAATTTCAAATGAAAACCAAACACCTCCTGATTAGCCAGAGTGCAAATAAAACTCACTTCATATTATCTAAAAAATGTTCAGACTTTTATTTAAACACACGACTTATGCTTTCGCTTGTTTCTGATATTGAAAATTATACCAAATAGGAGGTAGCATTCCAACTATGTTCTAAGGTATTAAATGTTAACCAGGAATCTTGATTTTTCAGCTCTGATAACCACCTCTGTGTCTTCAGTTTAATCAAACATTTTATTTGCTAGGAATCTCTGTATTGGAATAATTAAATCACTCCAACTACACTGTAACCGGCAAAACACAGCATATTAAGTTGGTTGAAAGCTTTCTTAGCTAATACAAAAAAAATTTTTTTAGGGGTGCCTGGATGGCTCGGCAGGTTAAGCGTCTGCCTTTGGCTCAGGTCATGATCTCACGGTTTGGGGGATTTGAATCCCATGTCGGGCCCTATGCTGACAGCTCGGAGCCTGGAGCCTGCTTCCGATCCTGTGTCTCCCTCTCTCTCTCTGCCCCTCCCCCGTTCATGCTCTCTTTCTCTCTCTCAAAAATAAACAAAAAAAATTTTTGTATATTTTTACACTATCTAAAGGATCAAATGTAAGTATATATGTTCAAAAATATAGCATTTATTAAAAATATTACACTTTAAAAATATTTCAAGAAAACGCTTACTTTATAAATCTGAAACAGCTATACAATACAGTGAATTCCAGTATAAATGGGCAGTGTGAATCTAGAAATATACACCGGAGCAATTTATATATTTATTTTTAATAAACTTTTCATATCTCTTTATTTTATCTTATTTTATTTTATTGAGAGTGCGAACGGGGGAGAGGGGCAGAGAGAGAAAGACAGAAATAGAGAATCCTAAGCACGTTCCACACTCAGCGCAAAGCCCAACACAGGGCTCGATCCCACAACCCTAGGATCATGACCTGAGACGGACACTCAGTTGAAACAACCAGGCACGCCTAAAACCCAGAGTAATTTAGATGAGAAGATTAGTCTCCAACAACTCCTTAGTAATTTCCTTTTCAAACAGTACAATGACTAAAAGGCTGAGAACAAGAGAGGTGTAGGAAATCCACAACCTGGGATCCAGCCCTTTGATATTCAAGAAGTGAATGTCTGAAATGGCAATAATCACGTATGCTACGTTCAGATGCATATATAGCATTAAATTTAGGTATATAAATGACATAAGAAAAAAGGGCTCACTGATTCAAACCTGTAGACATTAGGAATATAAATTTTGAACTATAGCAAACAAGACAAAACATCTTAAAATAGAAAACTTTTTTTTTTTTAATTTTTTTTAACGTTTATTTTTGAGACAGAGAGAGACAGAGCATGACCCTCCAGAATCCGAAACAGGCTCCAGGCTCTGAGCTGTCAGCACAGAGCCCAACGCGGGGCTCGAACTCAAGGACCGCGAGATCGTGACCTGAGCCGAAGTCGGCCGCCTAACCGACTGAGCCACCCAGGCACCCCAAAATAGAAAACTTTTTAATGATATTAATCAATTACATTGCATATCAAGTAGGAATATCTTGAATTGTCTATAAATAACTACATATCATTTTTAAAGAAAAATTTTATGAGGGTATTTGGATTACAGAATATAAATTTTCTATGACAAGAAGAGATTTAGACCCCAAATGCCTAGAACAGTCTCTGGCATGGAACGATTAATAATACACTTATAAGTTAATGCATTTGTCTTTAGGGTAACTTCTGAGTAAAAGATAGATGCCAGGAAGGAAATGTTTCGTAAGAACACAGCTCTGAATTCAAAGACTGGACAAGTTGAGTTATATGCATCTCTATTTTCAAGAAACAGTTTGTTTATACTGTTTTCCAAATTTACTTGGTAAATTCCTAATCTTGCAGATTTGGAAGTTTCACTAACATATGTTGTGCTTGGTCTTTTGATAATGGATTCGATTTTCTGTCTTCTAATTCTTTGTTTAGAAGACTATCCAGTTAGAAAATAATTCTTCTTAAGGAGAGCTACACCACTGGTAAGAAAGAGTCTAAACACGGCACTGGACTTGTAACATTTTAAACCAATTGTGTATTTGCAAAAGAAGCAAAAAACCCACCACAATGACCACAGCCTCACTCTGGTCAGAATTCTGATCATTTAACTAAAAAACTCTTCATATGGCAAGGATTTACTAAAGTAAAGCTATTTTGCTGAATCTTCCTGCTACAGCTAAATCTCTCCCTAAATGCCTTCTTTGCTGCCACCGAGCGCTCAATTTGCGGAAAATGAATTACATGGCTTTTCCATCCCACCCCCCCCCGCCAAGAATAAATATCAAAATAAGTGAATTGATAAGACACGTAAAGCACAAAAATCTTTCAGGACAATTAACATAGTAACAGTCTCACCAAAATTTAAACCTAGAAATTTAGAACAAGTACCAGAACAAGAAATTTTCTTGCACGTGTCCAAAATTAAATTTCTGACCATGTTCTTTTTTTTTTGTAGAATCACCTATAATGTTCCAAATCAAATCAGGAGGAAAAGTTTAGGTCCAGGATGAAACCAGACATACTTCTCTAAAACAGTGTTCACACTCGACAAAAAGCAAATAGTAAAGTTTGCTGGGCCTGGCAGTCACACAAATGTTCGTTTCAGGACTACAGGCCTCCTTGGGCACACAAGCGACTTGTCTGTTCACACTCAGATTGGTGGGAGGTCAGTGGTTTCACTTTAGTTTCTTGTGGAACATGGGCCATTGCTCTTGGTCTTTTAAAAATCAAACGAAATTGGGGCGCCTGGTGGCTCAGTCAGTTAAGCATTCGACTTCAGCTTAGGTCATGATCTCATGGTCCGTGGGTTTGAGCCCCGCATTGGGCTCTGTACTGACAACTTGGAGCCTGGAATCTGCTCGGAGTTCTGGGTCTCCCTCGTTCTCTGCCCCTCCCCCACTCACACTCTGTCTCTCAAAAATAAATAAATATTTAAAACTTTAGAAAATAAAAAGCAAATGAAATGCCGTGAGATCCAAATTTTCCTTTAGACTGCAGGTGCTTAACACTTTTCCTCCACTTTACAAATTTTCAATTTACACAGCTAACAGTACTTTTATAATTAGTAAATAAAATTTTGAAAAAGTAATAAAAAACAATCTCTTACATTTGGAGTTCCTCATTTTATAGTAAGAATCAAAATAGTTTTCTCCTTGACGAATTTAAATACCTCAAAGGCATAATTTGTGAAAAAAGCAAAAACAAGAGCTCTTGAGATAATCCCACATTGTAATAAAAGAAAAATCATTCAGAAGAAGAAATCAGTTATCGACTTACCCCAAATGTTCAGAATTAATGGATACATATGTTCCTGGATTATTTTTAGAAACTCTTTCTACAACTAAAGCCCACACTAACTTCCTCAACCAATTAAATTCTGTGACTATCATCTCACAAGGGCTGCCACACAGAAGTTCCATAACTTAGTTGAGAGTGGTTGAATGGGGAAAGGGTAGGATGAGGATTAAAAAATTGAAATGTGACATTAAGTTTCACAAGGATAAATGTATGATTCTAAGCTGTTCTGAGATTTAGTAATAATCAATGAAGATATTCTTTCATTTATTAAAAAAATCTCTTGCACCTGGGTGGCTCAGTTGGTTAGGCGACAGACTCTGGGTCTCAGCTTGGGTCATAATCTCACAGTTCGTGGGTTCAAGCCCCACGTCAGGCTCTGCACTGCCGGTGCGGAGCCTGCCTGGGATTCTCTCTCTCTCTCTCTCTCTGTTCCTACCTTGCTTGTACTCTCTCTAAATAAACAAACTTAAAAAACATTAAAAAAAAAATATCTCTGCATGTATTTATACAATGTGAGGCTTGAAAACCTTCCATTTTTATTTTATTTTTACGTTTATTTTTGAGAGAGCGCAAAAGGGGGAGGGACAGAGAAAGGGGGACACAGAATTAGAAGCGGGCTCTGCGCTGACATCAGCAAGCCAGATGTGGGGCTCAAACTCACAAGATGTGAGATCATGACCTGAGCCGAAGTCAGATGCTCAACTGACTGAACCACCTAGGCATTCCTGAAAAAACCTTCCATATTCCTTATTGCAAAGCTTAGTTTACAATTAATTTTATTAAAGGCCACTTTTTGCACTTCTAGTTGGGAAAAAAAATCAAGTACAGATCTTATTTTTTTTAAATTACATAGTTAATTTATGGGATAGATAATACATGCGTGATTCAGATCTCTAAAATTATTAAATACATATATAATACACAACACATACAAACTGTAAGAAAAACACATAATGGTTTTGCTTAAAATTAGATTCAAATACCTCAACTTCCAAACTTTAAAAGCAGTAATATAAAAACACTACAAAATAACTGAATTATACTCGTGTCTACATACTTAATAAGAGCTGCATTAAGGCTATCACGTCTGTGTCTTCTCTATTCTTTTCATTGATGCTACTGAGAAAAATAAGAGCAAAAAGAAAGAAAATAAGAGCATGAAAACCAGTTACTACGAGAAGTGTGGTGTGTATTTTATCTTCCTTCTCATTACTTGGGTTACACTGTCCTAAAGAAATAGGAAGGAGTCTCCAAGTGGCAAAAACTATAGAAAAGCTGAGACAGTGAGGGTAAAAACTGAGGCAAGTGAATAGAGACCATGGAGGGAAAATTCAAATGGACTTAAAATCAAGCATGCAGACATGTAAAGAGACATCCAAAAGCAGTGTTTCAAACAGGCAATTTAAAAAGCTGAGATGAAGCTAAATACATAAGTCAAGGAATAGTTAAGTTCTCGTAAGAAACTATAGGCAGAGGGGCACCTGGGTGGCTCAGTCGGTTAAGACTGACTGGACTTGATTTAGTTTAGGCTCTTAACGGTTTGTAAATGCACCCACAGAGTTCTCTTTCGCTGTCCAATAATGAATAGAGCCTGTTTGGGATTTCTCCCTCTCTTTTTGGGTTCTCCTTCACCATGTTTAAGCTTTTCACTCTCAAAATAAATAAATGAACTTAAAAAAAAAAAAGAAACTACAGGTGGAATATTAAAAGGAAGAGATAAAAAGAATACTCTCATCTCAACAAAACCGGGAGTTCTCCAATGAAGGATTAGGTTGAGTTCATAGATCTACAACTTGTATAGATAAATGATAGGAACAAAACAATTGGGCATTAAAACTCAGAAAGATACAGAAATTAGAAATTAGGTATGAGGAAGACCCATGTTATCACGAACTGCAACCTATTCTTGGCTCAAAAGCCACATTTTACAGGGGGGTTATGTTTACTTCTAGCTATCCTGAATCCCATTTCAGACCATTAAACGCCGCTTTTTCTTTCTCACTGCCTCTTCTTCCTGTCATTCACGTACAACTCTCATGGAACAAGATTTTTATATTCAAATTGCCAGGCACTTAACCATGTCCGAGTTCCAGGAGGTTTACTCACAGATTTCAAATTCAGATGGACAAGCGGTTACAAAAAGGAATCTGCACCCCTCCCTTCCTCAACCCCATTTCTGCCCTGTGACTGCTGCTACTAGAGCATAAGTTGTATGAGGCCGAGATGACCATGAATGTTTAATACCTTCACCTTTTACAGTATCAGAATGCCTCTTTAAGTGTTTACCATGAGGGAGAAGCGTGTGCACGCACACACACACCAAAAACCAAACAAACACGATCCCACCCATTTCTAATGAGTACATGACTGTACTTACTTTGGGATAATCCAATTCGAAGAATGTCTCCAAGTTGTTGATTAGGTTAGGATCTACTCCTTTCAAAGGTTTCAGAAGAGACACACCTGGGAGCTTGCTATATGGCTGTTTGTCCGTTGCCTTCTTGTTGAGGTGTAATCGGCTGAAAAGCAAATAATATATACGTTATTTCTGGAGAACATAATAGTGCTATATAAAGTATGCGTCAAGCTATCAAGAAACTACCAAGTTAAATTTTTTTTTTAATTGACATCTTTTTAAAGGGTTATCTGAAAATGAAGGAAAGTAATCAGGTAAGCATCCAGTTTAGGAAAACCAGATCTAAGCAGAATGAATGTTCCAATGGAGGCTGGAGCTTAAGAGTGTTGTTTATTGCTGTACGTACAGTGCTTAGAGAACTATGCTTAGCAAAGAGTAACCATTCAATAAAGACATGGTGAAGAAATGAATTATAGTGTTAGCCTACACATTAACTGCCCTTCCTCCCAAAGAGCCATCAAAAGAGACCAAAAACTATAAAAACTGTAGGGGGCGGGGGGAGGGAAATCCCTATCTTCCCCAGAAAAATAGAGAAGTGTAACCAGAAAAATCTGAGATATTTCTATAGTAAGCAGTCCACATAACACATGATTGAAAGAAGCACTAGGCTACCAGCAGGGCAAGCAAGAAAATGGGATAACTAGCAGCACTCCCAATATTCACAAGCTCAGAATGGCTGGGATGGAACAGAGGGAATTTGAAATCTCAATAATGAGAAAAATGTCTGGTAATGACACTGGAAGATACACCATTGCCACCAATTCACAGATAAGCTAGCCAAGGTTCTCAGTGCTGGCCCATCCCATGGCTCTTGAGGAGGGAAGCCATGCCAATTAAAGAGAGAATTTGCCCCAGTTAATGTTCACGGTGTCACAACAAAGAGAAGAGATGCCTTTCAGCAGAGTGATGATGTTTCTAAAGGAGGTCACCAAAGTCTTCCCCCCTCCTTCTCATAAGCACGTCTCTAAGCACTCAACAGTAATTACAGGTTAGAACAATCAGGGGGCCACGTGCAAGATATTTTAAGACACACGTTCTTCCACATTTTAACATCTCCGAAATCAATGGCATCTTATGATTGGTAGCAGTCAGATGGAAGTCCTAAATTAATAGCATGAAACCCAACCAATGAAACCTTCTAGAAGATCAAGAAAACACCAGCATCCTGGATTTGATGAAATACGCAATTAATCTGTGAATGACTTCTGGAAGTACATCACTACCATCATCCAGAACAGTTAGCCATGGGCTCACTCTCAGCTAATTAAAGACAGGGATGTGCCACAGTGAACATCTAATGTTTCAGATAAAGCCATAAAAGATTTTACAGAAAGAAAACAGGTTACCTACAATGGAAAAAAATTTAAACCAACAAAAGATTTCTTAAAGAACAAAGTGATACCAATTTCTGATCCACAGTCCCCAAATGCTGGATAATAATGGGGCACCATTTCCAGCAGTGCTGCTCAGTATGGTCAGTGAATAAAGTGGCTTTTTACTGGTCTGTGATGAGAAGAAATTGAGAGAAGCATTTAGAAATGTTTATAGCACTTTGACCTTTCCATGCCATCCAAGCACATGATCAGTATGTATGTATGTATATGTATGTATGTATGTATGTATGTAGTTAGTAGCCTCCCAAAACAGGGCTTGAACTGACAACCCTGAGATCAGGGCCTGAGCAGCGATCAAGAGTCAGTCAACTGACTGAGCTACCCAGGCGCCCCCAGTATTTATTTTTATTATAGTTTACCAGAGTATTAGTCCATGCCAGACTGGAAAAATTTTAAAGAGCTGATCCTTTGCCATAGATAGTTTGGAAAATATTCATCTACCAAGTTCATTGAGAGGTTGTACAGAGGTAAAACCATAATCTAAAATTTATATAACCACAAAAATGACCACTATTCCATATCTAACAAAATGGCAGATTAGATGTCTGAGGAAACCCAGCCAATAGAGAACATATAGACTGCTGGAGACAAAAAAAACTTATATATTTAATTGACTGAACCAGTTGTATCCACATGGTTCAAATCACTGAAGATATTAAAATATTCACGTAAAAGAAGTCTCCCTGTCGCCCCTGTCCCCCATCTGCCACGTTCTTACCACCACATTCTCAGCAATATTAGTTTCTTGTTCATCTTTCCAGACTTTTAAAAAATGCATATACAAGCCAACACACATGCACACAGGCGCGCGCGCGCACACACACACATATTCTTACAGAATGGTTATAATATTTGATACTACTGCACTCAAAGCATGTTTTTAAACACATGACTGAACTGTTAAGAAAATAAGGGAAACCTCTCAGGTCAGAAATGAGGAGAAATCTCTGAGTGAGTGAGTGTTGGATGCTTTTGCCCCAGGGCCACCTGTTAGTCCCAGGTGATGTAGAGATGGAGACAAGCCTGAGGTAAGAATGATGGGAACTCTGTTCTGACAACCTTGTATAATATGGAATCCCTGAAAGGCAAAGTAGAAAAATGCTGGCCCACAGAGGGAAGATGGGGATGTTGCCTTCTTGGATCCACCCCTCAAAGAAGGAAAGTCTTCCAGGAGAACACCTGACCACACAGGTTTGGAACCCGTAACGCAAACTACCTGTGTTGCTGAACAAAACCCAAGAGAAAGATTGAGAGAGACCATCATATATATAAAGACAACATGCAATGTCTAGAAATAAAAATTATGATTGTTGGCATAAAAACTCAATAGATAGGTAAAAGAGAAGACTGCATATACAGTTTAAGAGAGGACTGGACAAACGGAATCTAGATTTGAGGAAATTATCCAGAATGTGGCACAGAGAGAATGAGAAGCAAAAACACTGAAATCATGAAACAGTTTGAGACACGGAGGATAAAATAACGCGGACTAAAATCCCAGAAATTTTTTATTCTCTTCCCACTGCAAGATCATTCAAGTGCTATTAAGCTTATCAAAACACGCACAAGGTCATGACCAATTCAGAGAAACCCAGCCCACTATCTCATTGCATTTAGAAAGTCTTTAGATTAAGAACAAGGATAACTTAAACAGTGTTAAACAGTCTAGTACTGATCCTATTCCCCCCATCCATTCTCCTTCATTAAGATATTTTGGTTTAAACACTAACATAGATATACCTCCTATCCTTTGAAGAGCTTTTCATATCAAGAATGCAGTATTTTATCAGACTCATTCTGACTCACCAAACAACAATGAAGTCCTCTCCAGGCTTATGATGAAGACAACTGGTAAATACTAGATCTGAAATTTCTACTCAAAAATAAC